AAACCAAAGATCACGGTTGATACCTCCACAAGCTGCCCCATTAGTCTTTATGCTCATACTTCCTGAATCTGCTTCTCTTGCTGCAATCCTTTGCTTCACCCGATAACACTATAAAAATCTCATGGTTGTCCTTTCCCCAGCCACCCCCACCTGCCCCGCACCCAGTGTCATGCCTCTAAGATGCAAATTAGATCCTACTTCTTCACCTTCACTTTATCAATTTTTACCTCCATAATTTTACACACAAGGTCATCTGTAATGTGACCATTACCTTTTCTGGGTTCTTCTCCTGCCACCGCCCTAAGGCACCCCTCAGCTTAGTTCAGAGCTCCTCAAATGTCTCATGCTGTCTCCCACCCTCTCACACGGTGGTCACGCTGTGGGGCTGTCTTTCTTCACGCAGTTTCTCCTCTACTTACCCCCTCCTTCTCCACCACGCTTCTGGATGCCCCATATGGCAAGATGCTGTCATTTTTCCGTGTCTGTCTCCCTCACTACAATGTAACCTTCTTCAGCAGGGAGGCCGTGCTTTGTGCCACATTGTGCCTCAGGCCTAGCCTTGGCACTGAGGTCACCCTCAGTGAGAGGACCCAGGGGCCATTCCGTCATTTACCTTAGAGAAGTGGGAAGGGCGGGTGACAACAGGACCCTGAGGAAGGGGGAGTGGCGGCCGCGGGTTGCCTTCTGGCAATCGGCAAAGGCTCTCCAGAGCAAAGGGCAGTCAACCGTGCTTGCGCACAAAGGGACGAGACCTCTGAGAAAACTGTGGTTACTAATTTTTAAAATGTTGACATCCCTGGAAAACTAAGAAAGCTGCAGAGAGGCCAAGTCAGGAATTCGGGGAGCTGGTGTCCCAGGAGAGAGCACCCCACGTCAGGGCTGGCCCCACACACGACTTAGGCGTGGTCTCTCTGGGGTTTCTGCGTGACGCCTCGCACACACCGGGACTCCGGGGTAGAGGAGCGAGCATGGCCGGATCTTCCGCTCAGGAGACGTGGCTTGCCCTTGCTCCTGCCCCTGCCCCTGCCCCTGCCCTGGCCCCGGGAAAACGTTCCGGTCCAGCAGCGTGGGGGAGCCCTACCACGCTAGGTGGAGGGAGGCCAGAGAGCATTCTAGAAGCCCTCAGACTTCGTCTTGAGCCTACACCTACCTATGGTCTGGCTGCACAAGCTCGGGGCCGCCTGAAGGTGTGTGGCTGTGGAGCTCCCCAGCCCGGAGAACGCGGACCAGGGCAGCCGAGCACACAGCTCAGGGCGCAGACTGTGCTGTCGGAAAAGTTCTCACTTCGAGGTTACTTTGAGCTCCAGGAGCGCTGCAGCCCCTTCGCCCTGCTTCTAGGGTGTGGACACCTTCAACGTATGGAGACTTTGCAAAAACGTTATCAAAACGAAGACATGAGCACTGGCGCAACACTGTTAACTACACCACAGGCTTCCTCTGGGCTTCGCGGCCACTTCCTGTGTCCCTCTTCTGTCCCAGAAGTCGCCGGCCCCGCGATGCCTGCAGCCACCTGGGACCGCTGCTCAGCCTGTCCTTGTGTAGGGGCAGGAATGGACACAGGGCAGGTTTTCTGATCCAGCAGACCTGGTAAAGGAGGCGTCCTGGAGCCCCCAGTGGCTTTTGCAGGTTTTTATTGGGATTTACCGGGTGCATGGCAGGTAGGGATGCGGGGGGGCCGGGAGGCTGGCAGGCCTCCCAGCCCCCAGCAAGTCTTCACTCTGGGCTCTCCGGCCTTCTCTCACGTTCGCTCTGCTTCTCTCTCGGTTCTGCTCCTCCATTCGTTCTGCTTCTCTCGGCTGCTGCTGGCGTCCCTGCGCTGCCACCCTAAAAGCCCAGGCTCAGCCCAGGTGAATCCCATCGACCTGTGCCCACACCCTGCTCCAGGTGCCGCCATCAGGCATGCATTCAGGACAAGGATCCACCATCTATCCTGATGGCGGGAGGGCAGAAAAGCCTGATGCTTTTTACCTCACCCTACACCTTGTCACTACACCGCTGGCTTTTGAAGGGTGTGGGCCGCGAGTTTCGTGCAAATCCACTGTATTTGTCAAGGTCTGTTGGGATGAGCGGCGCCGGCCCGCCCCCCACACCGGCCGAGGAGAGTCACGGGGCGGCTTTCGTGCCATGTGAAACTTATCCTGCAATCAGTGTCCACAAGCTGCGCCTGAGCTGAGCACAGCCGCGGCCATTCTCTGGGCCCTCTGGGCCGGCCGTGCTGTGTGCGGGGGTGTGGGGTGAGGGGGTGCCGGGAGGGCTGGCGTCCGCTTTTATTAAATCCGTTGAGCAGGGCCTCCCAGATGGCGCAGCGGTTGAGCGCTGGGTTGCGAAGCTGCCCGCGGCTGCAGCGCCGGTTCGATCCCCGGCTGCTCCCCGGCCACCGGAGGAGGGTCCCACATGGCGCGCAGACCTCTCCTGCCGCCCGCTGCTCCCCTCAGCAGTGTCCTTCGGTCCTTCTGCCTGCTCTGCTCCCCGCTCTGGCTCTGGTGAATCCTCTCACCCTCCCGCGCTTCTGACTGTACCCAGTGCATGTATAAACAAAACAAACAAACTAAATAAATAAAAAAACATGCCTCTATTAAAAAAAAAAAAAAAAACTAAAAATAAATAAATAAATAAATCCGTTGATCAAAGAGCACTGAAGCGTCTAGCTCATTCCTTCGATCATTCCACAAATATTTATTGAGGGCCACTGTTGGAACCAGCAAGTGTTAGGTGATGCAAAAACTCTGGAATGAGGAGAGGTTCGTTCTGAGGGTCTCCCAAGCCTCAGGCACATTCTGTCCGTCCCGATGGCAGCTGCTGCCCTATTTCCAGCACTCGCTGTGCCAGGACCGCTGCACCTGTGTGGGCTCCTCTTGTGCCTGCAGCCGCCCAGGCGTAGCTCCAGAAGGAAGTGGGTTCCAGGGTCCGTCACACCCCAGGCCCACAGGGAGCCACAATTAGCAGAAGCAGAAAAGGGTCCAGCCAAGTCCAAGGGCTTCCCGAGCAGGCGCTGAGCAAGCAGGACACTGACCTGCACGGGTGCGGTCTGGGATCTGCAGTGGAGAGCGGGGGTCAGCGGGGAGCTCTCGGAAGACCACACGGGTCTACATATTCCTAAATTCTAGAAGCAACAGGCCAGGAGGTCTAGGTTGGTAGCCAGAGCCTCATCTGGAGTTGGGTTCTTTTTTTCCAAGGAAAGGGACAGTGGGCCCTTCGGGGTGTGCGTCCTAAGTCTTCCTGCAGGAACCCAAGCACCCGGCTCCGCGTCCCCTCCCCTTTCTCTGCTGTCACCACTCTGCCCCCCGCTTGGCTGGAGTCTGAGCTCTCTGCTTACTGGCCAGGAAGGCCACCCTCCACCTCCCCGCTGGCACTGGACGGGGTGCCCCCATGTCCTGCCTCTCACTCCAGGTGTGGCCTGTGGCTGGACTGGCCCAGAATGGAGGTAAAAGGCACATATTTGCCACCTTTGTTCAAATTGAGTATCACCCAAACAAAACTCGCTGCACCAAGAGGTCCCCTGGGCGAGAAGGGGCCCTACGGGCTGTGCTTGGGGGGGGGGGAGCCACTGACATGGAGCCTGCAGGCCCTTCTTGGCTGAACATCGGGACCAGGGCCTCACCGCCCCAAACCGACTTCAAGGGAGACGCCAGTGTGCCTCAGCCCGACAGTGCTTCCAGCCCGGCTCCCAGCCCGTCCGAGCGGGTCCACTTGGTCACCGGCCAGCCCTGCCCAAGACAACTGTTCCGATAGACGCAGTGAACAGAGCAAACCGGAGGGTGCCGGATCCCGCGCCAGAAGCCCCGGTGGGCGTCCAGGCTGGATCCACGGCTCAGCTATTTTTTGAAGAGAACAACAGGTCATTTGAGAATTTCCTGTTCCCTAAAATGTCCCCAGGAACTTTTTAACTGGCTTGGTAACATACCTCCTGAGTCTTTAGCCGTTGCAAAATTGATTCATAAAACTTGTTTTCCTTTTTGTGTTTTTAAAAAGAACAAAATGCAAACTAGTTTTGCAAGGCCCTGGAGACGTGACTGAGGACGCTACAGGGGACCCAAGGAACTGCACCTGCAGAGCCCTGGGCGGCGCCCAGTCCAGGGCCTCCATGACCCCCACAGGTCGGGGGCTCGGTGCCTAAATGGGGTTGTGGCTGCTTCTGTAGTTCCCTTACATCGACCTTGGCGCTACTAAAGGAGAAAGTCATCTTGAGGGCATCAGAACTGTGTGCTCTGATGTGAGTTTCTCTGGGCAGGGCTAGTTCTGGGGAGGGGCCGTGTTGGACTGAGCATGCGTGGAGAGGGACCATTGGCCTGAAGGAGGCGACCCCGTACCTGAAGAGACAATCAAAATCAGGCCTTGGCTTCCATCTCTTTACAGCGACGTCAGATGACCACTGAGGGCTTAGTCATGATCCCTGAACTCCGTGAGCCGGGGGACTAGGCCCTGGTTTTGCCTGCGATGTGTTTTGAAGGCCAGTGGAGTGTGAGGTGGAGAATCAACCACGTTGGTTTGCATGGGGGGCTGTGAGGGGTGGGGGGTACGGGGGTGGGGGTTGCTGGGGCAGGATCTCTGGCTTCAGTAGGCGAGCGCTGCCTGGCGGGGTGGGTCGACTGGCTTTTGGTCCAGGTGCAGCCTACACGGGCCCAGCGGGTTTCGCCTTCTCTCCGGCAGCTGCCACCTGGCTGGGCATGGCCAGCGATGCTCTTCCTAACGGTCACACACAAGTGCTTGGGGGTTTTGCTGATAAGAAACCACAATCAGGGACTCTCAGGAGCCCAGAGCACCCAGCACCCCCACCTGACTGCAGGCAAGGGTGACTCGAATGAAGCCACATTTGACGGGGGTCCAGGGGACACCGAGGGGGAGGGAGCAAGGCCCTGACCTGCTGCCGGCTGAGGCCCTCTGTGCCCCTAGGGACCAGGCTGCCCCAGGACTGGGCCTGGTGCCTTAGACTCAGCATGAAGTCAGGCCTGGCTGGCTTGCAGCTGCAAGGCTTTTCTCGCCTCCACCCCTTTTCTATTTCAGAAACAGTGGAATGTCCGACTCTGTGAATTCCACTCCTTAACAGAAATTTGCTTTTAATGCCTCAACGTTCTGAAGATTAGCGTGGGGGAGGGGAAACACAGGAAAAGCAGCGCCTCTTGGGAAAGAAAAGCCCCCGCACACACAGTCCTTTGTGCTTCACACATTCCTGCCGGCTTCGCTGACCGGAGCATCCTCGCCCAGATCTTGCGAAATGGTTAAGCCAAGGATCTCCGTGGTGAATATTTCTGCCGAGATCTCGTCTGGAAGCTCTTTTTCAAGGCAGATTTCTGAACCTAGCCAAACGAGCAAAGGAAACAAATGTCTTCGCCACGAGTTGATGTCTAACTCAGACGCAATTCCCCTAAACACAAGGAAACCACGGCAGAAAAAGTGCGAGGTGCGTCGGGCTGGGTTTGGCTTTGACTCCTTGGAACCTCCGGGTGGAAGCAGGCGCAGGTCCTCCTTCAGGGACTAGAGCCGTTCCCCAAACCTAACCCTTAACTACACGGCTGCACTGGGTCACCCTTTCGAGACATGTAGGAACACAACGCAAGGGCCCGACCACGGGGGACGCGACCTTCTGGGCCCCGACGGACGCCAGGATGGGCGGGCTGGGGCCCGGTGGGGAGAGGACACGGCCCGCCGGACACTGGCGTGCAGAATGCGCCGAGCGTGGGAGCGCTGCCGAGCCCACGCTGGGGCTGGACAGAGAAAGGAGGCGTGGGGAGCCGGGCCAGGTGTCCCGCCTCCAGACCTGGGTGTCCAGCGCCCGCGTTCCCACACGCCAGCCTGGAGCCGCGTTCGGATGGATTCCTCTGGGTTTCCATTCCCAGCCCTAACTTCAGGGCCATTTTCCTGCCTCCCGTGAACCAGCCCAGGCCGGGGACGCCCTCAGGCAGGAGGGAGGGCAGATGATCCTCAGATGTCGAGTCGCCCCCCTCCTCATCCTGGGCTCTCTGGCCAATGCCTCTCCTGGAACAGCTTCCCAGCTGTATCCTCCGCGAGGGCCACATCCACCCACCCCGGAGGAAGGAGCAACGCAGTGGGGAGCAGCCCGACAGCTTGGGGGCGCACGGCTCTTCCACCTTCGCCACCAGCCAGTCTTTTCATAACACGTCCATGTCGTCGTGAGCCCACAGACTTGCTGCGCGGTGCGCGCCCTGGGAGGTGGCCCATACCTTTGAAGGAGGAGGCGGAAGGCTCGGATTTCCACCCCTCGGGGTTCAGGCCAAACAGCGTAGCAAAGCAGTCGGACAGCTCCTCCTCGGTCATGTGCTCACCTGGGTCACAGGGGAGGGGGGTGCTCAGCCGGGCCCCGCGCCACGTGGGGGCTTAGTGGTGCGTGCTGAGGGGTGAAGAGAATGGGTGCACTGTTCCTTTCCTCGAGACCCCAGAGTAGCCTTCGAGCCCCAGGGCACTGGCACCCGACTTCCCTGTGGGTGCCAGGAACGGGGCCCCAACCAGGGAACGGGAGGGGGCTGGGCGGAGAAACCACCGGCAAGCTATACGGCACTTCTGCCCTATGTCACACGTGGGGCGGACCCTGAGCCATGCGTGGGGGGAAGTTGGGATGTGATGTGCACCCCCATCATCCCTCCCTCGGCCCCCGTCGAGCCGGGGCAGGGCGCGGCTTCCTCACGGATCCGGTCCGGCCCAGTTCTGGGACCCAGGGGTCTGTCTCCCCAAACGTAACTCCTGCAGGGGCCATGGCTCGGGATGTTCTAAAACATCTGTATTAACAAACGTGTTCACCTCTGGTTAGAAGCAGTCTCAGGAAGTCCTCTCTTCGAATGACCTTCTTCCCCTTGGAGTTGGTGAAGCCGAGGACGTTGAAGCTTTCCTGGACACCGGACATGGTGTTGCCGAAAGGTGGCCTGTGGTTCACGTAAACCTTGAGGAAATCTGGCAAGTTGATTTTGTCAATTATCTTTCCAGTGTCCACATACTCACTGAATCTGATTTCATTGAACATATCTTCAATCTAGGGAAGAGTTAAAAAATAAAAAAGATGGTAAACAGAGAAGCCACTTGGAATCACAGCTGACCTTGAACAACACAGGCCGAGGGCACCGACCCTGCCCCATCACGTTCCCTAACTTTGACTTCCCCAAAATGTAACTGCTAATAGGTTTCTGTTCACTAGGCGCTTGCTGATTACACAGCGGATGAAATGTACTTTGCATGTTAGAGGTATGATGCGGCGTATGACAATGAAGCAAGCTAGGGCAGGGAAACGTTATTGTGAAATCATAAGGAAGAGAAAATACAGGCTCAGCCTTGTGTTTCTTGATGCTGTGGGTTTATGTCATGTCTGTAAGAAAATCCCACAGAAGTGGGCCTGGACCTCACAGTTCAGATCTGTGCTCCTCAGAGGGGCACCTACAAGCCTGACAATTGCAGTGAATCAGACGAATATTCACAGCTGGGATGGGTTGACTGTGGCCCCAAGAAAAGATTAGTGGAAACCAGCCCTTAGGTGTAGTGCCAACTACTTCCTCACCTGAGAAGTAGATTTTTTTATCTACAAGAAAAAATCCTCGGGAATGTAGAAATCAGTTTATGCAAATAACTCAAGAACAGGACCTATGGCCCCCCGTGCATTTCGTCGCCACGCCCCACAGCTAACTCACCATGCTTCCCTGTCCCCTTTCGTTAGTTTCCATTTCTGCCTGTAATGTTTTATATATATATATATATATATATATATATATATGATGGCATGTTGTGTGCATGCTCTTTATGTGGTATAATTTTTAAAACGAACACCTAAAAAGTCATTGTTCTGGAAAAGATACACAAAATTGACAAATCTTTACCTAACTAATTGTGAAAAAGAGAGAAGGCTTAAATTACTAAAATAGGGAAATAAAACAGAAATAACAATGAATATAAATTGTACGAACAGGGGCCTCCCTGGTGGCGCAAGGGGTTAAGACGAAACCTATGAAGCTGTCCGCAGCCACCGCAGCACAAATTTGATTACCCGGCCGGTCAGGAAGCTGACCCACATGGCGCAGCAGACCTCTCCTGTCTCACCCGCTGCTCCCCTCAGCAGTGTATTTCAGTCAGTCTGCCTGCTCTGCTCCCCACTCTGGCTCTGGTGAATTCTCTCACCCTCCCGCGCTTCTGACTGTACCCAGTGCTTGTATAAATAAATAAATAAATCTTAAAAAAAAATACATATTAAAAAAAAATAGTGCAGCATTGCACGAGGTCCAGCAAATATCCGCACATGAGCCACGTCAGTTGTCACCAAGGGAGAAGCACGAACATCACACCCAGAGATTTCCGTCCCGCCCTCTCCCAGGAGGCCTCCAGCTTAGCGGTGTGACTGTGCACACGTGATCTTAGGTGGGGTTGGGGCTCAAACCCCAGCCCTACCACTGTGCATGTGACCTTGGCTGAGTGACTTAGGGGTCCCTCACCTCAGTTTCCTCATCTTGAAAGTGGGGTGATTTGGTAACACACATGCCCAGACTCTTTTGAAGTTTATCTTGACAACGTGCACAGTGGCTGACGTACAGCCTGGCACACTGAACACACGCAGGAGGTAGGAGTTACTCTTGTAATTACCAGGCCTTGCCGATTATAATATGTGGAATTATAACATCATGTAATTTATCACTACATAAATGACAACATAAATGATCTCTGTGTTTTGTTGTTGTAATACATGCTCTAACTCAATTCAGAAATAGGAGACTTATGCAAAGGTGACTGGAGGACACACAGGTGCGGGGGTCACTCGTTCCCAGAGCCTCCCCAAGATCCCCGGGAGCACACTCAGCACACACCTTCCGGGAGGGACTCACCCCCGACCCTTCCCCACACGACTGACCAAGACTTCTGCTCGGCAAGCAGCTTCGGCGCCACCGCTATTTCTTTCCCAGGCTGCTTTGCAAGTGTTGGGTAAAAAGGCAGATTCTGCTACACGTCTAGGCAACGATCAGGCCTCGAGAGGTGCTTGGGCTGCAAAGGCCCCAGCGTGAAGCTGCCTCGGGAGCAGTGAAAGGCCCTGGCGCGGCCCCGGCAGGCTTCCCCAGGGCGGCTGGCGACAGTCTGCAGGGTGGTGGCTCCTCAACTCACAGGGTGGGGGGCTCGTAATGTTCTGAGCACCGAGTGCCATTCCCAGAGGGCCCGGCTTAATGGACCTGGGGCAGATCTGAGGGGCCCCGGACCACAAAGCCCCCAGGGCCACCTGAACGTGCGGCCGGTGGACAGGCCCCGCTGCCCCAACCTTGTCAGGCACCAAGACGACCAGGAGGGCTGCTCACATCCCTGCACGCTGGTCCCAACCTGAGCTCCCGCGGCGGGGCCATTGTTTGCATCTCCTGCAAGCCCCAGATGGAGGGCACCTCTTCGACTGGACTCGGGGGGGCCACAACTTTGAGACCAGTGCTGTCAGGACCCGAGCGTCATGGAGGTGAGATGTGGGTGATAAAGACTCAGCATGGTGGCGGCTGTGGGGCCCACTCCGGTCCTGGGGGCCCTGTCTGCCTCCCTGCTGGGTTGTGGAGGTGCCTTCACCTCTAGTTCCCGGGATGATGGAGGGGCCCAGTGACCAGCTCATGAATGAGTGAACGAGGCAAATAAGCAGAGCCGGCACCAGGAGCCACGGAAAAATTTCTCACAGGACTCAGAAAGGCCCCTTTATGTGGCACCGCTGACTGCTCTGGTTAACACAGCTCGATTGACCAGAAGCTACTGAGTATCTGGAGCCAGGGCTGGGAGGAGCAGGGAGTCGCCAGCCGGGCTCTCCCCAGGTGGCCCATACTCCGAGGCTCACTCGGAACCCTAAACGTGAGCAGGCTCTGGGGCCGGCAGGCCAGGAGGTGGGGTATCTGTCCCCACCTGACTGAGAAGCTCGTCATCCAGACCTGCGGCCTCACCTGTTAGTGCTGCCTGGGCCCTGAGGGCTGGCTTGCGCTGCAGCCCTTCGTCCAGCATCATTTTCCTTCTGCCTCTGACACCCACCCCACAGGCCTGTTAGCCTTGGGAAGCCGTTGCTGGCCTTAGAATGTTTTATAGTTAAGTTTTATAACCTCCCTGGTAAATGGAGAGGAACAGGATACATTTGCACAGAAGCTCTGGCCTGGGTCAGAGTCTCCTGTGATCATTGCATAGACCTGCAGGCTCCCCAGCCCCCAGCTCCTCCTCCACTGCACAGGGCTCTCCAAAACGTTCTCCATAGATGCAGCCTCGGTTTTTGGTCCAAGCACAGTGCCTGGGGTGGGGCAGGAGGCTCGGGACTAGGCGGCCTCACCTCGGTCGGGGCTGGAGATGCCGCCATTTTGTGCCTCCCAGTGCCCGGGCCTCTGCTTGGAACTGTCTGGAGGCAGCAGCTGCTCTCTCCAGGCCCGGACCCATCACGGCGGGATCCTGCGCCCGACACCACTGTGGGCAAGGCCGGCCCCCTGTGCTGGGCCTCGGGCGGGTTCCTGCTGTCTGTGGTGGGGTGACGCAGACGTGACCTTCACCCAGTCCCCCCTCAGAGTCAAGGTGTCAAACACCTCCTAGGACTTTTCCCCATCTGTGTGAGTGCTTTTAAAGGTTTTAGGCTCCATCACAAGTCCTTCCTTTGTCCCAAACCCACCATCAAGGTCTCACAGTAGTCAAGGGCCCACAGTTCCACAAAACGCTGATGGCGCCCATGGATGCACCCAAGGCGCCCGGCGGATCCTGGGCCAAACCCAGAGCCAGCACAGAAGGACGACAGCCTGCAGCTACCTCGAGCCACCAACCCGCCAGGTATCTGTGTGCAAGACAGACCTGTGAGACACACCTCACAGCTGTGGGACAGTGAGCAGCCCCAGGCCCGTCAGGTGATGGATAGAAAACCAGAACATGTCACATGAGCAAACAGAAGACTATCCCGCTGTAGAGGGGCTGAGGCACAGGCCACAGGCCATGACACGGACGCCTTAGAAAGCGGACGCCTTAGAAACATTCAGCGACAGGAGCTTCTGTCTGGACGATGAAGCTGCCCTGGGCATAGACGGAGGTGGCGGGCGCACAACCCTGCCAATACAGTGAAAACCACGGAATCGGATGCTTTAAAGGGGTGGACTGTGCACCACGTGCTCCATCTCGAGGTGGTTGAAAAAATAAAATGAAAAGGCAGGAATGGGACTGCGGAGCCCCGGCGAGAGCAAGCAGCCCCGCCAGTCCCGTCTGCAGTTCTAAAAATATATTCTTCCTCATGACTACCAGCCACCCTTTCATCACCACAAAATCAGTAAAGGTTAATGCATGCCTGGTGTAGGGAACTCGGAGAATAGAGCCATGAGGGAGAGAATGTAAATGCCCGGTCCCCACCCATCAGCCTGGACCAGCCGCCCGTGTCCCAACTGTTTGGACAAAGAGCCTGAACACGGGTCTGGGGCCAGCCCGCTGGGCAGCCGCGCGACTGTGTGAGGGGCCGCGTCTCCCCAGGCCTCCCTCGCCCCAGCTGCGAGCTGGAGGTGGGAAAAGTATGGCCTTGTCGTGGAAACGACCCAGAGGCCTTAGCTGGAGCCTGGAGAAGAGCAGCCCCTTTGTTGCTGCCAGCGGGGGAGGCCTGGGTCTCGTCACCCGCCTGCCTGCCCAGAGGCGGCCAGCATTTTAGGATTTGTTCGACGAAATGCTCCAAGCACCGTGGAAAACAGAAATTGCTCTTCCTGCTCTTTTTTTGGGGGGTGCGGGGGTCAGCTTCATGGGTGTAGGGGCCCTGGCCCCAGCTCTCCGTCAGCTGGGAAGGCCTCCCCAAGAGCAGGGGCCACTTCTCTTACCTCGGGGATGGAAATACCTCCTGATATTCGTGTTTCGGAGCCAAGCCCGCATCCCGAGGGCCTCCCTTCAAAGCACAAGATTCCAGCCCGCGGGGCCTTGGTCAGCGCAGAGGCTGTGCTGAGGCGGGGGGTTCAGGTTTCTCCTCACCTGGGAGCCGGCGGCCCTTGGCAGAGGCCCCGCCATCCCAGCCGGGACCCTGGTTTAGCCACCGGG